TTTATTGTTGTACAATTTTCTTTGATAATCGTACACATGTCCATAATGGGACGTCAATTATAATTCTAACAGAATTTGAGAACTTTAAATTGGTTATTATATTTATTTAATATTTATAAAATTATAAATAAGATATAATCTACAGTAGTATTATTAAATATTGGATTAATGTTATTTATTAATAATATAGAATTTATTATTTTAATTGGATTTAAATACCTACAAAAATTAACAATACTTCTAAAACAAACTCATTAGTTATAAATATGTTATAACAAACTTATAACGATCTTTAAAAACTTTTAAAAACTCTGCTTTTATTTGATAGCATTCATATTGTTTATATATAAGTTTTCAATTACAAGTATATAATAATATTATATTTAAAAAAAATAATGAAATAATAAATTTTATAAATTTTATAAATATTATTTAATATAATGTGGTACTCAAAATTTTTTAAAAAATCTTTTTAATATATCTAACTTAATAAAAAACTTATTTTAATTAAATAAAATTAAAATATAAATACTTGAATATTATAAATTTATAAATTATATATTATTAATTTTTTTTAATAAAATTAATTTTAAAAAAGTTATTAATATAAAATAAATATGTAATATCTATAGAAAATTATTTAATAAATATCAAATATATAGAAACTATATTTTGCTTAATTTTTAGATTTTTAGATTTTAATAACAAATATTAATTAAAACTTTTTAAAAATATATTTATTAGAAAAAATTTAAAAATTAATATTTCAATTAATTGTTAATTCTTAGGTTTAATAGTTTATATTAATTAAAAAAATTTTTGAAATATTTATTAAAAATATATATTAATTTTAAATTTTTATTTTGTTTATAACTATATAAGCTAAAGATATAATATAAAAAATTAATTATAAAAAATTTATATTATTATTATTATTATTATTATTCTAAAAATATATAATTAATATGTCATTATTTTCATTTGTATATAGTTTTAATATTTATCTATAATGTAGATAGTTTAATATAATATACTAGTATTAAACTTATATAATAAATGTATTGTAAATTACTATATATAATATTTTCTTTTAAATAGTATTTTTTTAGATAGAATGATTAATATACCCAGGTAATGTATACACTGGTTTATGGGAATTCCTTTTTTTTTTTTTTTGTATTTTTATAAATACATAATAAAAAAATGAAAATGGTTTATTTTAAATAAAAAAGAAAAAAAAAAATCCAAAAATACGGTATGTACTGTATATAAAATCCGCAATCATATGACCATATGCATGGCTCGAAAGATTTTTTTTTGCGCATTTTTGTACCACAAATATACTGAAAGTCACATGTAATATGGTTAAAAAAAATTTTTCAATGTGTATATATAACCCGCTTAACAGAGCCAAAGCTTGTATTTTACTAACATGTCGCCATATTCAAATTCTCCAAAGAATTCGAGCAAAAATAAAAGTGATTCTTCAAATTCAGATTCAAGCTCGAGCAGCACTTCGAGAATGGAGCGTTCCGAGCGTCCAGCAAAAAGGGTTCGAAGAGCCTCGACGGATGATTCTTCCTCAGATGCCAATTCTCAACAATCAGCAGAAAAGTCCCAAAGAACTTTTGCTCACGGGAAACAAATCAACCAAGTAGAGGTTTCCAGTTCGTCATCCTCAGAAGCAGAAATTAAAAAGGGTATCAGACGAAAGCGAGATTCTCAAGCTTCAGACGACGAGGATTCCAAGTCTTCTTCGAGTTCTAATTCAGAATCTCGTCCATCAATAAAAAGAGTGCGGACGTCTCGTAAATCTCAATCACCTCACAAGTCAAGTACATCTTCTCTCACAGAGGCACCTGAAGTTTTATCCTCATTATCAGACACAGAAAGTGAGACGCAGGAGCCACCATCTCCTCCGGAGACTCCGGGTCATCCTCGTAAACGTCGTTTGTCGCAATCAGAATCATCAGATGAAACTGAAGAGGACACAGATATAACAACAGAACCACAGTCTCCTCCAAATTCTCCAATACCTCAAAATCCATGCAAAGTTTGCGGCGGCTTTGAGCCTATGGATATAGAATATCCACTAATTGTCTGTGCAGGCTGTCAAATATGTGTACACACAGGTATTTATATTGCAAGCATCATCTCGTTTTACTTTAAATGATGTTAAGATAGACATACTTATTTGTTGTCTTGTCAGATTGTTATGGTATATCTAACCGAAAGCCAATGGGAAGAAGTTGGCGTTGCGATCCGTGTCTTAATGGGAGAGTTCGCAATGCAATAAAAGTACGTGTCGATCGTTGGATAGGATACCGCGGATAATTTATTATATTAACTTTTAATGCATTGTGATTTGTGGGGATTTCAGGTTAAAAAGTGTGTTCTTTGTAATCAGCCGGAAGGTGCTAACAATGCAATGAAAAGAACGAATGGAAATAATTGGGCACACGTTTTATGTACTACATTTATCCCAGAAACTTCGTTCTATGAACCAGAAAATGTTTTTTTAGTTATGGATATTGAGGATGTGAAAGATGAGCGTTGGAATGTGGTAAGTTAACGTTACAATTTTCAAATTTTATTGTCAATGATCCATGTCATTGATTAATGGTTTATAAAATAGATTTGCTCGATATGTCAGAAACCTGGTGGTGCATGCATTCAATGTTCTAGTTCTTGCGATAAATATTTTCACGTAACTTGTGCGCAGGAAGCTGGTTACCATTTAGGGTTTGAGGTGAAACCTTTCAATGTGGTTTCATCGCGACTGGATACAACAAAGGCGTCATCCTCATCAAAATCCAAAGCTGAATCAGTGGATAATGCCTTAGTCGACATGAATCAAACAGTGAACGAGGGATTTAACGGGGAAATGACATGTAAAGTTTACTGTAGCGATCATGATGTACCCGAGGGCTTTTTAACCATGAGTACGCGGGATTCACAATCGCATCAGGTGCTTTAAACTTCCATTAAATGTTATCTTACGATAGAGTCACACTATTACCTAATTCCAGTATTATTATTATTTTTCGTTTAGTCTGCGTTATATGCATACATCAAAAAATACAAGAAGTACGACTTGTCCCAAAGAGAGCACAAATTAAAAACTAGATACACCTTAACAATACCGGAACACATCAAAGCACAAATGGATGCACAAAAAGCCTGGTATGAGCTATCAACCACGGACGATGATAGTAATGAGGATAGCAGTGAGGATGAAATTGTGAATAGAAAATCGAGCAAGAAAAAGATGGAAGATGTGAAATTGAAGGGGATTGAGGATGCATTGATTAAAAGTAACATATTACGTCCATCTGACAAGCAATGCTCACGTTGTTCAGTAACTCGTACGATAAAGTGGTGGCCTGATAACTGGGCTTACTTACCGAGATCGGAAAGGTTTTCAATAAGGGATGCTTTAAGCATTATTTGCCATCGATGTTATCAAAAAGAAAAGGCATTGATTGGTGAGGTTTCAGAAGCGGGGATCAAAACTGAAGACATTAAACAGGGTTGGGAGAAATTTTGACAGAATAAAATGAATAACACATACAATAAAGAAGATATATAGTCAAGTTTCACACTTTTATTTTATGGAAACTTATTTTGTTGCATCTTAATGTATATAGTTAGACGTACATACACTTTCTATCATTTGCTTTTCATACTGATTTCCACGTTCATCTTCGTTGGTGATTTTTTTTTTCCTTTTAATAATTTGGATAGACTTACTTACCAAAGTGCTAATAGAACTTAATAATGGAGTCATGATGATTAAATAGAAAGAGTTTGCAATTAGAGGCTTTTTACTATAAAATTTGTTCGAATAACAAGACTATAGAAAAGTATCTTACAACTTTAATACAAATAACCAAATAAAATTGATCTTGGTCTTATTTTCACAAAAAAAAATGGCATAATCCCGTAAAGTAATAATTACTTATTTTAGCATTTAATCAATTTAAAATTCTTTCCATTATTATTTTTTTTTTTATTCCAATATTATAAATTAAAAATACAAAATTTCTTTTTAATAATACTGAATTGGAAAAAAAAATGCGTCAGTCAAAAAATTTCCAAAAATTTTAATTCAATTCTACAATTTTTTTTATTATGATTAATTCATTTTTAACAAGAATCCAAATAAGATTTTTGTAAATATTTCAATCAAAAAAATCATGACCCCAAAATTTCATGAAGCCATTAATTAAATCTTACCAAAATCATTTGGTTAAGTTATTTAAATAATTAAACAACATTAGTAAAAAAAATTTTTTGAATTAATTTAAATACCAAAAACGGTTTATCTGAAAAGTGTAAATTTATATTGAATTATATATATTTTTTTAAATGTTTTATCATACTTTAAATGAAATAATATTCGATTCAATTTATAAATATTTTGATAAAAAAAATTTTTTTGAAAAAATTCAAGTTGATTGAATTTGTGAAATTATAATAAATACTTTTTCATAAAAATTTTTTTAATTTTAATTATTATTTAATTATTATTTAAATTTTTATCCATTAATAAATCAATTAGTCAATTATATTAATTATTTATAATTATATAATTTTGTTATATAAAGTAATATATAAATTTAAATAACATGTATTTTAAAGGGTATAAAGTTTTCTATTATTAAATTAAAATAATTGCACCATGACAAATTTAACCAATCAAATAAAATTTAATTTTATAATTATAATTTTTGAATATTGTATTTAATTTATTCATTTTTTTTAAGTAATTATTAAAGTACCAGGACTAAAATTTTTAATGATTTCGAATTCGAAATAATTAATAATTCCATTATATAAGTTTCTAAGGTTTTTGTAATTCGCCGGTCATAAATAACTTTCCAAGTGTAGGTCCAGAATATTGGTTCAATTGTTTACAATAGTTATTAATTTGTGAGGTAATCA